ATCTGTTTTCAAAAACGATTTGCCGGATTTGGACTCTTTGATGATTCATCGGTCTTGCATTGCACTCCGCGAGATTAGATACAAGACCATGACAATTGAGTCCGAACTGTAGTGAGGCCCAAGGGCGCGTCTACACAAACTATTGTGCCATGTTCAGTGTGCACAAAAAAGAACATTCATGACACAGACATAATATAGATAAACACATGCTCCATAAACAAATAGAATAAAAAGGTATCAAATCAATGGAATCTCAGTCTCTTTTGAACAGGTGGTTCTTCTAAATGGCTAAGAAAAGGGTAATATGGTTCTATAAATTGATTTCTAAGTATCAGATGTGTCATCATTTATTTGGAATTAGGCCAATTCACACTAGAAGTTGGTAACATAAAATTAGGATGCAAAAACAAAAATTTGTAATATCACATATACAAATGCGAGCACTAAAAATCAATATGCATTCCAAAGATTAACAATTCCCTATATTTTGGATTTGAATATGGTTAGCTAATAAACACAATTCAAACTCACCCAAATGGAACATTTTCACTTTTCTATCAACTACTTTAGTTCAAAAGAACTCACAATTATTTCATTTGATCATGATCAAGTCCACAAATGTAACACATAATTGCTTGAACATGAAGAAAAATTGTTAACATCATCAGTTTCATCACTTAATCTCGTTTCTTCTTTTACTTCTCTTACTGTTGCTGCAAAGATATCCTCACCTTGTGGATTCAACAGATCGATTAATGGTTGAAAGAAACTTTTAGCAACATCATAATGAAACGACCAAAGCTTACAAATAACTTTGTTCAATAAAATACACTCAACTCAATCATAGACTTAAAGCTAAAATAACTCCATATAATAGAACAAAAAGCTTATTATCAACAAATTATTATTTTTGTAGTTATTATTTCATCAACTCTTGTGTGGACATACTCCTGTGAATATAAATAGTCATTCTGCAATCAAATTCTGCAGATATGTTCATATGGCTAAACTAGTAGTATTTTCTACTCTCTTTTTTCTTTCCTTTTTGTTCCCAAGAACATGCAATTTCTTTATTCTTTTTTATTTATATTTTTCTTTGGGTAATCTGTTCTATATTACTGTATGGAAATGTTAAGAGAGAATGGATAGAGCTTGTAAATCGCATTCATCCAACTATTCCTAATGATGTTAATGGGAAAATGTTGGTGGGTTTGTTACTCAAACATGATCAAATATTTTTAAGGAATACAAACAAGAGCATTGTTTATACCGATCAATAGAGTTATTCTTCGAAATGTCAAAATATTGGACTAGATACTCTAACATAAAGGCAATACTAATGGAATTTAAATTCATTCCTAGGATAGTAATATATCAAGAAACATGTTGAGGTTATGGGTAAGTAAGAGTGAATTAAAACAGATTGAGAGAGAATGCATTTTAAGGACAAATGAGTTTTTGTTGGTTGCATAAATAAACAAGACAAGTAATTCCAAAATGCTAACCAAGCATTATTACCTCAACAACATTCCCCAATTTCCTCACTTTCTTTGAAACCAAATAAATGTTACTACTCGAAAACCCTCTAAACCCAACAAATAGAAAAAACAACAGAAGATGCGAATCAAAGAGGAGTAGTAGCAGTGCACAGGAATGGGGAAAAGAGTGTATGATTCTGGCGGCAAAATTCAAGCAATTTCTAACATAAAAATAAAAACATAGAATACAGAGGAATATGGAATTTCAAATTCAAGCAATTTGCATGAATATAGATGAATATAGAGGGGTATATATATAGATATGTACATGTATATATGTTGTCTATGTGAAGAGAGAGAGAGAGAGAGAGAGAGAGAGAGAGAGAGAGAGAGGTTGAAACCACACCAAATTGCTATCGAATCCAAATTGCTATGATCTCTGTTAGAAACCAAATTGATTTACTCAACTTATATATATCTGCAATAAATTTGGAGAAGATGAAGAATAAATGATAGAAGATCTCAGAATATGTATATGTGTGTGTGTGTGTGAATCTAAAACAAAATGATAGAAAATCTCAGAAAATTGTGCGTGAAGATGAAGATCTTAGCATCCATGAAAATCATTGATTTTTCCTTTGAATTGAAGGCAAAAGAACTCATATCTACATTGGAGCCATGAAAATGAGGTCAATCATGAAAAGTTAGGGCAAGAGGAGTCCTACACAGAGATTGATCGATTCTGAAAAGTGAAGGTTAATTGAAGTTGAGACTAGTTGTTGAAGATCAATACAAAGATCCATTTTGATATGAGATGAAAATTGATTATGATATGAGGTGGCACGAAGATCGATCCAAATTGAAGCTAAAGATCGATCAAAGCTAAAGATTGATTGAGTCTCAGCTGAGATCGATTGTAGAATACAAAGTGCGTATTTGACAAGTTAGGGTAAGAGGATGATTTAATTTGGTCCCTATTCAACTTTAGCAACCAAATTAATTGGTCTCCATCTTTTACCCACGCTACGCACATGGGTCAAGTGCTCAAACGAACATACGCATTAACTTTTTTGGTCCCTAAAGGCCTTCAAATAATTTGTTTTTTGGCCTATCGTAAACGAATATGGTGTGTTTGTATAATTCTCGTAATTTTGTCCCTAAATGATTGTTTTTGGAGACTAAATTCATTTGGTTCCTAAATATTAGTCTCTACATCACTATTTCTAGTAGTGAAAGTATATTCAATCAACTAAGAACATGAAACTATTATCAAGAACAAATTTCAAGATTCGATTTACTTAAAGATAACTATCAAAGTGGCATCTTTTGAATTTCGCAGAAGTTGGATTCTTTAGGGTTTGTAGAGAATTTTTTCTAGTTTCAAAATCAAATTTCGAAAGTGGGATAGTTTTTCAGATTTTTAGTTTTTGAAGAAATTCTCCAACTATGTCCAGATTTGTCGACTACTACGGAAATTGGTTTTTCTCTCAATCTATTCATTCATTTTCAATAAGATTAATTTTTCTTGAAATTTAACACATTAAGGAAAGTTTTGATATAAAAATGAGATCAAGAAAATTTTTCTACATTTTTCTAAAATTTTTGGAAATTGGCTGAAAATACTAGTTATTAGTGCACAAAACTTGAAATAAAAAGTGTTGTAAGAAAAGGGGGCAACCATGGGTAATTTCACTTCTCTTATGATGACAACATGCTAAATAATGTACTAATAACTCAAATTTTTAGTTTGAAGGTCTTCATTCAAAAATAATGTAAGATATAGGTAGAAATAGGTGACTTTGCTACAACAAAGATAAAATACAAGCAAAAAAGCAATCAAAACTCAACTTCTTTTATTCAAACACAAGAATACCACACATAAATACTTGAAAAAAATATTCTAAGCATCTAATATCATGTATTTAGTAGAGAAAAGTGAAGGATCTGTTGTGTTGTGACTTACTTGTTTGCTTAGGAATAGTGTATGCAAGCTTTCTCTCTTTTTCTTTTTCTTTTTTTTTTAATTTTTTAATTTTTTTTTTCCCTTCCTCCTCCAAGGCTTACTCTTTAGCCAATTAGCCAAAAAGTTACTAAATTAGCCAAAAAACCAACAACCCATACCAAAAAGTCAAAGATTTTCTTTTCTCTCTACTTTTTGCACATCTTTTCGTAATTAGCCAAAAAGTTATCCCAAACATACAAGTTTTTTTTACCTACATTTTTAGCCAAATAACCAAAAAGTTACTAAATTAGCCTGTTCCCAAACGAGGCCTAGTTGTAGCTTAGTCATGATAGAACTAGAGGTGTAAACACATTTCTTGAATATTAGTACTTAGTCAAATTCTCTTTCATATTTGAAGCAAATATTTTCCAAAAGAACATAATATATGCATATATCAAAGTGGCTGGCCATGTGAGGGTATTTTTGGGGGTTTTTCATTTTATATTTGTGTACTAATTTACCCTAAGATAGTTTAGATATTTATAGGAAAAGAGTATCATAATAGGGTGTACTTTTATATAATATAATGAATTTGAGGCAAGAAATTTTAATAAAGTGTGAGGGCATGAGATAAATTTATGAATTAAAATACCTGTTTGAAGTGTAGAATTAATTAAGATAGTGATAGAAAATATATTTCAATTTCTGTTACTTCACTTTGAATTAAAAAGTGAACAATTGAACAAAAACGGTAAAAATCGGAAACTAGAATTCTAAGCGGTTAATCTATAATGAAAGAGTTAAATAATTAATATTAGAGTGGTAGAAACGATTACTAAGCTACCTGGGTCAATTAGGGTTTGTACAGATTCATCCGCAATACGTTTTCAATTTTAGAGTTAAACTTGCGATAAAGTGAAAATTTAGAATCTTAATTGCAAGAACCACAAGGTTGGGTTTCAAAAGAAATTATAAAAATTGAGGTCTCTATTTATCATAAATGAAACCCTGGTATATTGAATTATAGTGACACAATGTTTAGGAAAATGTATAAAGAAAAATGTAGGTTTTTTTTTAGTATGGTTGAAATAGTAACACAATAAATAAATAAGAAAAACATGGCTCACAGATATACGTAATTCGATAAGATTGTGTATGATGCACACCAATTCCACTGTATTGAAAAACAAAAAACAAAAACAAAGAGTAGAATAAATATTTTATATAAACAATAATAAATTTGATAGGATTTACTTTACATAAAAATTTTAATTTGGACCTACATTAATTTTTCAATCAACATGCACATTTTTATTCTTTGAGCAAAAAATAAAATTCTAATGAGAAAGTCCTAACGTACCATGTGAGAATGAGAATTCAAATTCATATTTAGCCCTATTGCATGTGGCTGCTGCGGCATTTGACAGCGAAATATATGTTCATATTACACATTCGCAATTCATAAACAACTCATTTCTTTATTCACCAAAACAACCAACTCTCTCTGTCTCCCGCCTAAACTAATAAACCTGGCAGTTGCTCTATAAATAATCTAATCTCTTCCAAAACACATTCACCAATACAAATCTCTGGTGAGAGAAGAAGAAGAAAAAGGAAAAGAAACAGAGGAAACATGGAAGCTCACAGTCTCCCAAACCCATCTTCCTTCCATGTTCTCACATTCCTTTTCACCATTCTTCTATTCATCTCCCACCATACCCAACCAGTCTCAGCCACCACCAGCACCACCACCGCCACCACCAGCACCACCACCAATCAAGCCTATGCAAACTTCATCCGCACCGCCTGCAACACCACCACATACCCATCAGTTTGCTTCAAAACCTTCTCTCGCTACGCTGCCGTTGTCCAAATCAACCCCTGGAAGCTTAGCAACACCGCCCTTAACATCACCCTAAAAGCCGCCAAGAGCACATCTAAACTGGTGTCGAAGCTTGCTCAACAGAATGGTTACACTCCCACAGACGCAGCTGTCATGAAGGACTGCATAGACAATATTGGAAGCAGCATAGATGAGCTCAAGCAATCTATTCAAGCAATGACAACTGTTGATAGTAGCTCTGATAAGCTGTTTCAGATGGACAGCATCAAGACTTGGATGAGTGCCGCCATAACGGATCAGACTACTTGTACAGATGGATTTTATGGCGGCGAAGTGAGTCCCAGTGTGAAGAACAGGATCAGTAATAGCATTTTGAAATTCACCAGACTTACTAGTATTTCTCTGTCTCTCATCAACAACCTCACTTATTAAGAACGCAACAGTATAATAGTGGTTGATTCACTTAAATGAATTTTTATTTTTGAAATTTACATTGTGATATTTGTTCGGTAAAAAGAAAAGAAGTATATATTCCAAATGAAATTGTCATTTATCAATATAGTACCATGCTCATTCCATTGAGAGGTCAAGGAGTAATTATTTCATTTTTACCGCAAATCATCATTACAATAAACGAAACACTCATGAATTACGCACTAATGTTACTTTAATAATAAGTTTTTTTTTTGTTTATTATTTTCAAAAATTTCACTGAATTTCTTATAAATTAAATGGAAACAAGTTCAACCATCCTACTCCATATAAAGAGTGTTGGTTCATGAGTCCAGATCCTCTGCCATGGTTCCTGCGATGCTTCTAAAACGACGTCGTTTTTGTTGTTGTTGTTGTTATTTATTTTTATTTGTTTCAGCTCTCAAAACCAGAGAGAGACCATCTAAAACAGAAAACCAGAGACGAAGAGGAAAGAGGGACGGGCAGCGACGACTGTGGCGGTGAGGCCACATTCAGTTCCTCCGACTCCATTTCTCTCTCGTCGTCGGCGACCCAACCACCCCAATCGTTTACATTGGCTTTTCAAGGCTCCGATCGAAGATTTCTGATCTTAATCAACTCCCAATCAACGATGATGAAGCCCCTCTGGTGTTGATCAGTTCAGATGACGACGTTCGGTGCATGGTCGATGAGTTTGACAAGCTCGAATCGCTCGATAAGCCCTCTAGGCTCTGGATTTTTGTTTGAAATGAATGGGTATGTTTTTAGACATAAAAACTGTGTTGATCTGAGAATTTAAATGATGGGTCTCGGGTTTCTTATAAAAATTATAATGGGTTAGGTGGTTTGAAGAGTGTGAGTGATCCTTCTGTTAATGGTAATGGGCATGAGAGTTTTCGATTGCAATGGATATTCAATCTCTTCCTCTTTTCTCTCTCTTCCTTGTGTATTTAAACCCAAAACCCATCATTGTTTTCACAATTTCAGCAAAACCCAAATTTTGAAAATCACTTCTGAAGATTGTTTTTGTCAAGAACATCATGGTTAATTCATGTGTGATAGAGAATGCTGAGGCAAAAATTGAATGAAAATTGAATGAAAATGGACGAGTAGAATGAAGGGAATGTAAGATTAGGGAAAAGAGGCTGTTTTTTTTTTTTTTTTTTTTGGGTTACATAAAAAGGTTGTTCATCTTCATCATCTTCCTCACTGGTTCGCAATTATCATTTGAAACGAGCGACTTTGGTTGGGAAAAGAGGTGGGCCGAGAACTCCTGTGCCTACTTGAAGATGGATTCAAAATCACCTCCTCCAAGTGTTCCACAAAATGCTAAATCAATGAAATATCCATCAAGTATGGATCTCTTTTGACACCCAGTTTAATGGTAATGGGCATGGGCATGAGAGTTGGAATTCAAGCTTTTGACACCCAGTTTAATGTTTGGTGGTCTGTCTCTCTGGTTATGAGAGCTGAAAGAGAGAGAGAAAAAAAAGGGTCCAAAACGACGTGGTTTTGGAAACACTGCAGGAACCATGGCAGAGAATCTGAACTCGTTTGTTCAAGGCTTGACTTTTATAAGATCCATACATTCATGAATCATGATCCTCTATAGAATTCCTTCATTAAATCATTTCATGATTCTCATACATATACTAAAATAAATAAGAACTTTGAGAACCAAACATTTCATTTTTAAAAGTAAAAATTTTGTTATAAAATTTTGAAAAGCAAATTTTTGTCATCATTAGAGTCATCACAAAAAAGGCCAACTTTAAAAGTCAAAAAATGAACTTTAGCGATTTTTTTTTTTTTTTAAAAAAATGTTGTTAATATATGCAGTTTTATGGAGAATTGCCAAAAGAATTTACTTTTTGAGACAACAATTTTTTTTCCAAAAGAGTATTAATTAAATGTCCAATTTGGTCGCAAAAAAAAAATGATAGTTTTGGCAACAAAAATATTTCATCCATAAAAATGATTTTGTCCCTAAAATTGGGCGCACAGGCCATAAGTCCAATTTTGAATTTCTTTCGTCTATAAGTCTATGCGCTAAACTATTAAGTTCATAAGGACAATTATGATAATTCGTTTCAATTTGTACTAATGAAAGAGAATAAGAGAATAAGGAGAGAGAGAAATTGGTAGAAAGAGAAAGATGAAGAGGAATGAAAGAGAATAAGAGAATATGAGAGAGGGAGAGAGACCTTGAACCATTTGTGGAGACAAGACTGAAAGGACTCGAAGTCCTTGAGGATCTCTAAATGGAAGCGATTGAGTTGGCGCTTGATGAAGTTTAGGCACGTACAGGTCATTTTCCTTTAGATCAGAGATCGTACTTAGGCTTTTCAAATGCAGTAGCGATCCAACGAAGAAGAGTAACGACGAGGTAGATCTGGCTAGCAGTAGGCTAAGAATGAAGGCATATTTTCTGCGGTTCCACCTCCTAGGATTAGGATTTCGTTTAGGAAGGCCTAACCCAGACGTAAAGGTTTCACACGACGCCCTTCAGTGTCACACTCCAAATCCAGGCATGACCGGCCGTGGCCCACAGGGACTTAGCCCAAGGCACACGTAAGCCTAAACATGAACCCAAAACCACAAAGAATAAATGTGATGATAGCCCAGAAATAAATAAATCAAAACTCAATCCAGTGACATGCCACAATTGAAAAACAAGTCATAACCAACTTTCTAAAAATATATATATACTAAATGGGACACAAACCACCCACAACATAAAATAATTCTAAATAAAACTCAACCACAATGTATGCACAAAACTCGACAAGCAACCTAAAACAAATTAAATAAATGCCCTAGAGGTCCATGCAATTAAGTTCCTGCTACGCCATGAGTCGACTCTAAGTCCTTTCTAACACCTGAAAATGGTAAATAACTAAGTCAGCTGTTAGCTCAGTGAGTAGCAACATGGATAGTAAATACAGTTTTGAAAACAGGGTTCAATTCCAAAATAAGATATATATCACAGAAACTAGATTGGCATACAGTTTGGTAAATACAATCTGTTTCAAAAAGAAGGTTCCACAATTCAACACTTAAAATACTCATGTCTCGCAAGAACATGATAAACAACATTTTCCACTTAAAACAGATTATAACATGAACACCAATAATTTTCTGGGTACCAAGAAAAACAAATAATATGCCACACAGTTCTCAAGGCTATAAGCCCCGTTGGATCCAAAATCGAATTAAGAGTCATCCTCAGGGTGGCACCTGGGCCTTTTCTCAAAGACGATCCGATTGAAGGTCACCTAGTTGTTTTTAAAGGTCTTTTCCTTACAATCGTTGAGCACTAGAGTCATCACGGCCTAACCCGGATCTGTTCCCTAGTGGCCAGAGTCACCACACACAGTGGAATAATTTCCCTGGACTAAATACACACATGGTCCCAATAATCAATACACATCAGTTTTGCAAAACATGGTAGTTCATCATTATAAACATGAGACCAAAATAAATAGTTTACAGTATGCCAAGTTCACACATGTTTCAGAAATAATTTGATTCAATTGATAATATAATAATTTATCAAAACAGTTTAATCATGAAACAACAATTTAATTTTTCCAACAGTTCAGGGTAAGGGAACATTTATAAAAATACGTAGCATGAAACTACTCACCTGAAAACGAAATAGTATAATCCTCGAATAAAGTATGGAAGTCCAACTAGTGTCCTGAACCAATATGAAAACTACACGTCACTACTAATTTAAAAATACTAAAGAATACGAACTAAGTAACCCCAAACTAAAGCGCACTAACACGGCTCAACCAAACTCACTGTCACTCTTAAATATTACCTAAGTTCATGTTCTTCAAAGTCTAAAAACACCCAAGACATAGGTTCCGATCGAAACTTCACTAAAAATAACTTTAAGATAAAACAGAGTTTCAAACAAGTTTTCGCAATTTATTCGCTAACTTTGAAAATTACAAAACCCGCTCCACGCTATTCGAAAAATTCCAATAACCTCCAGATATGATCTAATATATCCTAATTTTCAAACCCAATTGGTTTCACTTGATTTGCTTATCAAAATAATTACCTATAATTTATTATATCTAAACAGGTTGTTTTCTGCAGCACTTTAAAGAAATTGACGGTTCTCTTAGTATACATGAGCAATCAACATAAGGTAAAAAATGCAAGAAACTAGACTCGTAACCGGTTCTAATGACACTAATTTGATAATTTTTGGATTTATACCCAAAGAGAACAACACTCCCGAATTTACTATTTCGGACTGGTTTCCTGGACAGATTTAAATACCTCAATTTATATGGATTTTGACTCCCAAAAATTATGAACAAATTCAGCTATACAATTTAGTATGTAATTAATCTACTGTAAAAATTTCAGATTAAAATTCATTCGTTTGATTTGATTTCTTGATTTTTAAAGTTTGCTGGCAGATTAATATTCTTAGGAGCAACATTGTGAATTCGATTAAAATTTCTAGAATACTCTCCCCATCAACCAATCCATTACTTTTTCTTCCACCAACTCACAACACCCACAAGCACCATAACTATGTAAACAATAATCTATAATAGAACAAGAATAAATTGATTCTTACCTTAGAGTTGTTCAACCATAAAGTTGCTGAAAACTTCTCTCTCTCCCTCTCTCTCTTTCTTTCGTGGCTGCTGCTATACTCTCGTGGCTGCTGCTATATGTTGAAGGTGTAGTGCAAAGCAATTATAATTAAGGGTTAGGGTTTTTGTTAGGAAAATTAGGGTTGCTCTATATATATCTAAACAAAACTCTAAATAATTATCTAAACAAAAGGTTTTAAATTATTATCTCTTTATATTATTTTATTTTCTATCCGAATAATTTAAATAAAATACAGGTATTACTAAATCAAAATATACTAACTAATTGGTCCCCTATTATTTATTTATTCATTATAAATCTTGCCACTAAATTAAAAACTTCCATCACAAATTTATTTTAAGCTTAAAATTAATTAAAAAGATCCTCCAATAATATTTAATTTGCACCTTAGAATTCACTACCAAAATATTTGAGATTGTAATATTATTATTTAATTATTTACTTAATTATTATATTCGGGTTCTCACATTCTGCGTTGCCCAAAAATTCCACAAAAAATGGCTATGATAGCTTTGTTATCTAGCGTCCACCTTCATATTCCACTATCCAATTGTCACAACAGAACTGTCTAGCTCTCTTCACCATTACCATTCTCTCTGAGCTTGTCTGGGAACACCAGAGCTCTCAAAACCCTAAGTTCGTTAAGATTAAAGAAGAATGATAAGTGTAATGAATAGAAGAAATAATAATATGAAGAAGAGAGAGAGAGATATTCAAATTTTAATAGATAGAATAAAAAATTGAACAGATAAGGAAAAAAAACTTGGTGAATTCCAACAGATAGGAAAAATAGACTTTGTGAATTTCAATAGATAGATACAAATTTGAAGAGATAGGTTCAAAAAAAAATGAACAAATAAAAAAAGATTTCAACAGATAGGTTAAAATAAAAATTTCAACAAATATGTGGTAATGTCCTTTTGACCAAAAAATGTCCTTCTATCGACAATAAAACCATCATTGTCCTTAATGACATATAACAGTGGGAATATGGATTTATCACCAATTTTTTTTTTTTCAATTTTTATTTCTAAAATTTTAATTTGTTGTAGTGATATGCCTTGTAAGATATTTTTGATTTGCACTGCAACAATTTCTAAGGGTTAGCCCGGTATGTAACCCAGTATGTGGCAGATGATGAGGAGAATGCACCAAAGTTTAGACCATACAATTACAGGACAAAATTTGCCATTAAGATTTCCCACTTTTATGGATGCAATTGATACAACATTGTATTCAGAACGAGAGGAGACAGAGTCCAAGAGGATTTGGAGGTTGGGGAAAAAGAAGAATCAAGTCAATGTGGGACAAAAAAAGAACAGCCAAAAGCATGCAGTACATAAGCCATATTCTAGGGAACCCCAATAACACCAACAACCATAACAACAAAATTTGAAAGAAATTTTTTTGGAATGCCCAGGGGTGCCGAACTAATGATATCATTACAAATGGATGAGACATAAGAGGTTTGAATGTCCCTAACTGGTCGGAAATCAAGGAAAGCACTCGGGTGCAAATACGCATGCCATCAACAGACAACAATCATAGGTAACTAAGCCGGGAAAAAATTTCAAAGCAGAAAGCAATTTGAAGTGTGAAACAATCAATTACCAGGCCACGTTAGCACCTTATATAAAAGGAACACAACAACAATAGAGGGGTGGGCGAGAATGAAAGAATATTGTTACCCAGAAGGCAACCGAAGATGGCAGGTGAATTAGGTTTCTAAATAAATTACCAAATTAAAAATTTAATCCAAATGATAAATAAGCTCAACAATATAAAATAGAGTAATGAAATAAAATGAGCAAAAGGGAAGAAAAAGCAAACT